AAGGGGGAGAAAGAGGGGGTGGGTGGGACAGGACATTCCGATCAAGCTAAATGTAACCAAAAAAGAAATGGGCGTTGCAGCCGATTGAACCACATTCACTGCTGAAAACCTTAGTGTCTCCGAAGCTGAAGCTCCGGCAGGAGCTGTCAGTCGCACGGGGGGCTAGCCTCGCCCTCCGCCCCCATCCATCTTGCCTCTTCAGTCTCATCTACTTATTTACTCATGCGGAACCGGGAACGGTGCAGGCATCTGGTGGAAAACATCAGCTGTGGTTTTTGTTCAACTATCATGGACGTACCCACGCCATTGTGCGCGTCGATGCTGGTGAACTCAATAGTGCCATCGTGACATCTTTTGGGGTCTTCTTTGTATTCTTTGTGGATTCCTTCCGGGCAGTATCGATAAGCAAGGCCATAATCTACCAAGTACACCTGTAAGTTTCCAAGTACCAAGACAAACTTAAGGCAGAGTGAGGCACATACACCCCTTTAAAGGCCAAAACGAAGTGCTGGCATTTAAGGGTGACTTCACTATAAGGCCACAGCACAGCACCCAGACAAGTTAGAGCCTATATGCCAACAATGGCAAAGGCTTAATTCTGAAAGACTTTATTTAAAGAAAAATATTAGATGGCCATGTAGCTACAGCCCAGATAATATCACCTGATTTTGTATATTGTTTACCTAAATATGTGCTATCATTAATCTTGTCTCCTCAGTTTGAGCGAGGATTATACACTCATCCTTTTCCTTACAGTCTGAAACAAAACTGAGCACGGAGTAAACCATCGACACTGCGACACAACTGCCACACTCGCCTATGACCGCGAGCTTAGCCGGCACGGGACGCAGTAGTTGTCTTCTATGCCTCTGCTTCACCACTTATAAAATAATCAAAGACCAATTCGCTTCATAAAAATATTTCAGATCATAAAAATGATCTGAAGAACTTTTAGATGAGGCTCTTATCTACATTTAAATATTATATATTTAAGTCAAGCCTTCATAATTAAAACTAAATTTTAATATCATACACACACACATCTGTGGGCATGTTCGTGTGGGCCTCATTAGCATCGAAAGCTAATAAATTTGGCTTTCTTCTATTCCATAGCCTCATATTACATCTCTAGTTCTGGGTAACTGTCTCACCAATGTATGCAATTGGTCACGAGAGGGAACTGAAGTAAAAATATGGGGATGACCTGGCACATACATCTAATACTAAAAAAAAAAAAAAAAATCCCATCTAAAGATATGCCCAAATAGAAGAGCTGTAGAAATATTTCCATACAGACAAAAGGCAGCATGTTTTAGTCAACTACAAACTGAAATGGGTTGTATTTTTATTTATTATATAAGTCCAGTCTACTTCAATTAATGGAGTCCTTGTCATTCAGGCTCTGAGCTACGTTTTGTTTGTTTTTAAGCTAAAACATGTTTTATACGTACATAGAGCCTTTATGGCCACCACAATGGAGATGGAGGAGGGGAAGCAGACATACGAGATCACAGAAAGAGAAGCCAAGGATAAAGGAAAAACTAAGCAAGAGAAAGTTAAATATGGGTTTGAGGAAAAGCAAAATAAAGTACGGACTATCGACACAAACACATTTATACTGTTTAAATATTCTTTCCTCATACAAGATCAAGTGAGAAGTGAGACACGGAGAGCAGTAAGCGCAGTCACGCGCCAACGCATGTCAACCAAACCTCGCTTAGGAGAATCATGGAAGCGGCTACACGAAAGTTACAGATTCCTTTACATTACCTAAACTAACCCAAATAAAGGTAAAATAACATTAGCTTTTCTCCTTTCCTTAAAAAGTAAAAACTACAAAGCAAATGTAATAAACTAAAAAAATGCAGATTTGAATTCCACACCCTAACTGTGCACAAATTGAGACAGCTAAGATATTTCTATAAACCAATTGATTTGAATAATCAACATGTTAAAGACCAAATTTTCAAAGTAACAGAACACTTTCATTTGATGGATTTCTTGAACAAAGGAAATAAAAAAAATGACAAAGCAGACAGGCAAACATAATTCATTGGTGCACTATATAATTTTAAGCTTCCACCCCCAAATAGCTATTTGAAATTCATTTTGTATCACAAGCACTTCTTCTGAATATTAGTTAGGGCAAAATAGCCAACTTGATAAAGTGCCAAACAAATCCCATCAAAAATGTAGAATGTTAACTAGATAAAAACGTCAAGAAGAAATGTTATTATTACCCTATCTACTTCAAAAAGTAAAACTTCTGTATGGGTTCGAAAGTTCAAAGGAACCATACATGTTTTCAAACAACAGGTTCTAAATAGTGGAAATTAAAGTTATAAAACTACCTGGTCAGGATTCTTGCAGCTCAGAAGAAGATTGGAAGCCTTGATATCTCCGTGCACATACTCGTGCTCGTGAATATACTCCAGAATATCCAGCTATGAAAGCAGCACACAGGACAAATTAGTGCAGTGCCCGACACCGACCAGCAGAGGACCGAGCTTCAACACAACTAGCTCTACTGGATTAAAAACAAGAAGCATGTAGCTCACATACAATTCTTAAGCTTAGCTGCAAGACAGTTTTCCGAGAAAACATTTTGGCATTTGCTTCATATATTTTCTGAAGGTCACTCCCAAAGCGATCCATTATCATAAACCTGTAACTAAAGGCAAATGAGAAAAGTCAATGAACAAAATATAACTCAGGAAAATCTACTTTGCAATGAGTATTATTCTTTCGAAGTAGTTTTTCAAGACAATGTTTAGGAAGAGAGAAAAGGCAAGAAAGACAAACATTTGAAACAATTTCTTCTAACTAGAATTCTCAAGAGCTGAGAGAGCTTTCCTGGGGCCTCCTGGCCGCGGCCAGTACAGGAGACAGTATTCCAGTAAGTTACAGAGAGAATCCAACAGATTCTTTCACAGTAAAATAGAACAATCTGAGAATGATATCAGCGTTCTTTCTCATAGCTAATTTATGCTTCTAGATATTATCTTCCTGTGACCGATTTTCTCTATTTTTAAGGCACATTTTAGCATAGCAGTATTACATACCATTCCGTTAAAATCAAGATTGTCAAGAGATGGTGTAACAATAGCTGCATTCAATAAAATCGCTTAAACGGTGTAAAAGGACTATATATGAAATACTCAACAGACAAGATTTGGGGAAGAGGAAATACTCTGGAAAAATGTGAAGATTTTTGGTTTTGACACAAACCAAATATGTCACCTTAGTCAAGTCACATCGTTTCTTCAGGCCCCAGTCTCCACGGGCATGGGTGAGGGAGGAGGCAGGGCTCGCACTCCCTAAGGACTTTCCTAGCACTCTGACTCTAAGGTTCGGCAGCCCCGCGCCATACGTCAGCGTGGCCCGAGAAGCATCACCCAGCTGTGGTGACACGGCTCATCTTCTGCTCTGAGGACCACGTCAATCTTTACAAAGTTTCCTGGGTTCTGACTTGTCTAGTTAAATCACCCAATAAATCAATCGAGACCACACTCAAAATGCATCATGATGAGAAGTACTTCGTGCTCCAGTAAGTGGCAGAGCCACGCTTCTGACCACTACACCACAAGTCGGCAGGACACAAGAATCCCACTTACAAGTTTGTAAGATAAAAATACGATATGACAAGTTCAACAGGGAAGGAAGAGCTAACGTATAAGACCACACGCCAAACAAAGGATTCAGAATTCTATCCATTTTTGAGCCGGAAGAGAATAAGAGATCATCCCGTCTGAACATCTTTTAAAAAGTAATTAATGTCTGTGGAGGGAAAGTGATTTGTCCGAAGCCACATAATTAGTGGCGCACGTGCTCATCCATGATCTCCCAGCACCTGGACCTCCAAGGTAACAGAGGGACAATTCTGACGGCCTGATTTCCTTCGTAACAACGGCTTTTCCAACATCGAGGGATGAGACCAAGCACACGTATTTGTATTTTACAAATGAGTGATGTGAGAGTGTGATTATTATAAAAATGTATACAAATATGCACGGGTAACAAAAGTACCACCTCTGTTGACAGTCTCAAAAAGGGCTAAAAGAAACTGTTCAATTCGACGAGAGATCTATTAACACATCTCATCAAGGAGGTCTTGCTTCATGCGCACAGGCCACAGCACTCGGTGACAGCCCCTTAACTGCCTCACCATTTCTAAACACACATCGCCTGGAGCGGGATTCTGTGTGCCGCACCTAAGTTTTTACCATGTTCCTCTGGGAAGGCATTTCTACCACTGAATAGTAAAATGAGAGTTATTCCTAAGTAACTCCCCTAAAGCAAAACCATCGAGGTACAACATGCCCTCCCAAAAACCTGGGTGAAACAATGCAAACAACAGGAAAATGTAAATCAATAGAAATAATTTCATAATGGCAGCAGATAACATTTTTATGATCCTGACCCTGTTCTCAGCACTATATACATATTAATTCAAATGAATTTCAGGGGAAAGTAAGGCTCTCTGGTGGACGGGCGGGGCTGGAAGAACAATCTTACTTTCTACGTCTTTATTTCTGTAAGAACCAAAATGATTATTTTTAAGAGCGTCAACCTAAAAAGCAAATCAATACCTTGGAGGTGATTTCAGAGACACTTTCGGCAACTTCACGCTATGGAAGAGACAGGCTGAGAAGCAAGGTGGCCACAGTAAATGGCACGTTAAAGGTAAACTCAGAGAGTCTGGTTCCGGGGTCCCTGACTCTGCAGCACCCTCTAGTCCCCACGATGGAAGTTCTCCCGCTGCACTCCTGTCAGTCAGTGGACAGAGTCCCCCTTCCATCCCCACCAGCTCTCCAGGCCCTGGTCACTTCACAGGAGCCGCACGCGCACGCACACACACATGCGTGCACACGTCCTGTTTAAGTGGCTGTTTTATCACAAAACAGGGGATAAGACTGTATAAGGTAAAATGTGCTTTGACAGTGTTGGCAACTTTAAGAAAAGGTGCCATTCCCAAAACAAAGGAAGGAAGAGAGAAAGGAAAGAAGGAAGAGAGAAAGGAAAGAAGGAAGGAAGGGAGGAGAGAGGAAGAAAGGAGGGAAGGCAGAGAGGGGAAAAGGAAGAGAGGGAGGGAGGGAGGAAGGAAAATAACAATGATGACTGCAACTAACATTTACTGAGCACATACTATGTGCCAGAAAATCCCCCTTACGATTTACATGTTTTCATTTCATCTTCCCAGTGACTCCAAAAAGTATGTACGATTATCCCCATCTTACAAGTGATGGAAATATGGAAAACTAAACATAACCCCGGAACCACGCCTGATGGAGCTGCGTGTAATCTAGTTCAGTGATGTTTAAATTTTATTGTGATATAATTTTTGTTGTTTAAAAAAAGTGTATCCCAAAATTCTGGAAGGAGGAGAAAAATTCTGTTATTCTAACTTTAAAATGCTCCAGTCCCCCCGCCACACTGCCCTTCCAATCATTTGATAACGTGCTGTTTCTGAGGGGTACAACCGCTGTGCCCTGGAGTGCCACCACATGCTATCTGCTTTCTAGCAAGTCATCTGTGAGGGTGTTTTCTGCCCAAGTCCCCTCTTCACAGGTTCCGATACGGCATGTACAT